GGCAAATATATTAAATAAGTACTCATTGATTCCTCATCAAAAAAAAATGTGTGTGCTGTGTGCACTATCTGCGCACATTTGAAGTGAAAGTTCTTACTAACAGCTTTTAAATTGACGGATTCGAAGGATATATTTTTTTATGAATGCTCTTTATAAATTTCAAAAAATTAGATTTAATATAAAACCGTCTACTATTCTAGCTGTATAATTTTATGTTTTTTTAATTTTTATTAAAAAACGATAATTCTATTACCCGGCCGGATAGCTCTGGCCATTAAACTAAAATACTTAAACATCTATATCTCTGACAACTACTAACCAACCAACAATTTGTTTTGTGCAGTCTGTGGTCTGTTTTTGTTTAAATGTTCTTTTCATTATTATTTATCAGTACTTATTCATGTTGGGGATTTATTTTAAATTAATGTAAAGCGTTAGTCAACCAGTATTTTTTTGCATAATCACAATTGTCACTCTAAATTGCTGTCTTTTTTAGACAGATGTCACTTGTCTTGACATTATTCAATTCATTATTCGATTTCTCAGAATGTTGTTAACAAAAGTTTTATCCTAAAATAAAATTTTAACCAATCACAATTGTTTATCTCCATCATTTACCGCATTAATAATACAGAAATTGCAGCTCAATTACGAACAATTCATTATTTATAGTGATCTATTAAATTGTACGAATATTCTCGTTTATTTTTGGTTTGAAATAAATATGACAACATGATGTCCTCCAATGAAAATGCGAGTTACTAACTTTAAATTCTAATTATGAGCTGGCAAATGAGCTAAATGGGGTAGCTGTGGCAACACTGCCGCTATCACTTTTCCTCTCGCCAGCTCGCGCGTCACGGTCGTCTCGCGGCTGTCATTCAAGGCCGTGTGTCCCGTTGCTACAAGCTATATAATAGGGATGACAAGCGGTTGAGCATTAGCAGTTTATGCGTTTATTAAAATTAGGTTGTTGGATGAAATTGAATCTATATCATACACATCTGTACCCCTGTTTGTTTCTTCAGTGGGCAGTCTGCTTTTTCATGAGTTTTTGATTTAGGCTGTGCCGTTTCTGTTTTAATAGTTGTTCTTCTATTTAAATAATTGACACTTATGTTCTTCAAACTTCGTTCAAAATAAAGAAGCAGGAAATAAGAAAAGAAGGGCTCAACCGACCGAGAATATTTCAATGGTGTGCCAATTAAGCCATTCATTGAAATAATGAACAAATCGAACGTCGTCTGAAAGATGCTTGATAGGTTGGGAGCATACTTTCTCTAGTTCTAACCTTGCTTTCCCAAATATATAATGTCATTTGCAACCTAGAGCGTCGTAGTGTTTGTTTCAGGATCTTCATTGCAAACTCTGCAGCAAAGACTTTCTTGATACAAGTTGAGCTTGTTCAGGTAGCACTTGACAGATATGTTTTGTCAAGGAACCTATTGTAATTCTCACGTTATTGCTGCAGCTCATTAGCAGTTCCTTGAATGAACGCATTGCTATATCTATTTCTTCATTGGACAGTCTGGTTTTTGTTGATCTAGGCTGTACCGTTACTGAGATTCTGTTTTAATAATTGTTCTTCTGTTCAAATAATTGACTCTTATGATCTTTAAACTTCGTTCAAAAGAAGCGAGCAGAAAATAAAAAAGAAGGACTCTTCGACAACCGGCCGAGAATATTTCAATCGCGCGCCAATTAAGCCATTCAACGAAATAATGAACGAATCGAACGTCGTCTGAAAGGCTTCACAATTACGCGCGGCGTTCGGACCGTCGATTCTTCTCCACCAAAACACAATTAACCGAACAATTTTCCCGGTCTTTTTCAAAAAGCGTCCTCGACTTGGCAACGGCCCGTGGTGACTCGCGAGCGATCGAGAACTTTGTCAAGGGGGCGAAAGCGAAACCGGTTGGGGGTGGAGGGCAGGGGTAGAAGACGTGCCCCGTGTTTTAACCGGATCGTTCGATAAAAACTCGACTTAATTGCTGCTTGATTAAAGACCGCAGATCCATAAAATAATCGAGGGTGCGATTACAACTATGCGATTAGTGGGGGGTAAAGGGCAGCTGGGGGTGACGACGCCACGCCACTTCAGAGGACGAGCGTTCGGCTTGTCAGATCGGAAGGAGGACGGGGTGGGAAAGTTCGAATTGAGAACGCGATTGATCAATATACCGGGTGGTCGTCTTAGTTGGAAACATAGGAAATCGTATGCAAATTTTGAATTGTTCAAATATTGGTTCTCCTGTTGATTTTAGCATTTTGAATTTAAGCATCAGTTGATTAAGAAGAAGTATACCATTAATATTGATCGAATTATTTTTGATGCTGATAGTATACGCCTATTTAATTTTTTGATTATGTAATAAAATAAGTGCATAACACTTATTTAGTCGAATTGCCTGAATCTATTTTTGCTTTTTATCGAATCGGTGTGATAAAGTTGGGAAGCTGCAAAATGAGTTATTGCACCAAAAAACACGCAATTACGCTCTCTTTTGGTGTTTGGACATTTTTTCGGCAGTTTTATTATGATTTGAAATTGTCTCAAAACAACGCGTCGCTCATTTCGGGTTCTTTCCACTTAATTTTTACTACCCGAAACAGCGTTACGTCACATAAACTTTGTATCTGAGAATTTTAAACAGCCTCTATATTATCCCCGAAATGTTTTACGAAATATTTCGTGAAATATTTCGCAAAACATTTCTGGAAGTACTTTTAGAAGTAAACTCATATATACATATACAATAAAAAACAAATAACCAATCACGGCGCGTCTCGATCTATTTCAGGAAACGTGGGAACTAATTTTTAATTTTTATAACACGGGCTTATATTTATCAAGGTCAAACGTTGTGGTGGCTTCAGAAAAATAAATAAACATGAAGTATGAATAAATATCATTAATTTGTAATGGAGTGTAATGTAATACCACTTTTAAAATTATATGAAAAATGAACAGTGCATTTAGAAAACTGTTATCCATGGTAGATTAAATCGAGGATTAAATTGGCTATTCCTCTAAGGTTACACAAGAATATCTAGTTTTAATCATTGTCTAACATTATTAATTACAATATAGTAAAAAAATATATTTCCAAAACTGAAAATCGTAAAACTGCAGGGCAATACGCAGTGTAAAATTGCTTATTTCTGGGGCTTACTCAACCGGGTCTCACAATGCAAATTCACCTCAAATATCCATTTAGTTGGTCAATAGCAAGCACTCTCTCATTGTACATGAAAATAACAAAACAAACATTTACTGATCTGGATAAAATTGATAGTTAAATAGTAACTCATCCGGGGGTACTCCGCCCCCTAGCCACTGATATATTCTATTCAATATATCCCATTTCATATTTTCCATCTAATTCAATTATCATTTGGTTATATATTGGCTAATCATCTTCAACAACTAGCTAGTGTCACCTGAAATAGTATAGGGGCTTCCCCCGGACGCAATTCTGCCGCTAAACAGATTCGCATCCCAATTGAATAAGCTAATTGGGGTAGCTCACTACCCCAACGCCGCATCGTGTCAATCGAGAAGACAAGGGAGACCTCAAACTCTCAAGACCAACCTCGATGGCAAGACGTCACACCACAAGAGGTTTTCTTCTGGTCAAACGACCCGTTGCCTTACAGTACTTGCAACGTTTATAGTCAAAAGAATTTCAACCCCCAAATATCAGCTCTATGACAAAACACAACACAACAGCCTGCCGGCCTATCAACTACTGATTCGCCTCCGGCAAGCTAAGCCTCCTCTTACATCACAATTTTACCGGATCGCAAATATTTACATTACTTGCCAATGAATCATGCTATTTTCTCTAATCGACTTTAAAATAGAGTGTTTTAGCATTACTAGATAAATAAATAGAGAGTTTCCGAATTATAAAACCATTATTATAACTAGCTTATTTTCCAAGTTTTACAGCAGTGACTAACTGTTATAGGTTGTCTTATTTTTGAATGGATTTACATCAAACCATATTATTATTATATATAAATATCTCTTATTGACATCGGGACAATCAATAATTTTTCCAATCAGCTTGATATATTGATGATGTTGCCAGTATTACTCATCAAGCAATACTACTGTTAATCAATTAAGGCCGCGTAAAACAAATATACATAACATAATACAATTTTATATTATACTAATTCATTATAATAAAATTAAATAATAAACATACCTACTGTAACTATATTCCTGCAAATTTAGTGAAATGTTATGTTCTTAAATATCTATTCTATACATATTATAAACGCGTGTTCAAATATTAATTTTATGAATATAATATATCGACATAAAACGAGATGTAATTAACGAAATAGCATCGTAACAATAGCTACTTTAGAAACGTCTAGGTTTACTTATTTCACTGAGACTTATGAAAAAAAAAGTCCTTTGCCTCGGGTACAGATACCGCCACGTTTTGGAAATAGCTCGAAACAAAATTGACCGAGGCAACAGGAAACGCCAAAGAAATCCCTCACGCCCGCCCTTCTCAAGAGTAGTTTTCAGGCTCTTTTAAGAATCGAATGTAGGTTGAGACAAACGAAAATGGGTCAAGACAGCTGGAAATAAACCAAAATGCGACAAAGTTGGAAGACGAAATTCGACCTTAACCTGTTTCGAAGAGTTCTCCGCATAGTGTAGAGGCTGTTTTATAGTTTCGATAATTGCACTAGTAAAAACCAAGATACTTAAATATTAGGACATAACCACGACTTCAATATTATTTCAAAGCGATCAATATGAACGGTAAACGGGTCAGCGTGAAATTAACGTAGTCAGACAGTTCTGTCGCAATTTTAAAAATCGGTTGAAATGCACCAAGCCTATAGAGACCATACAGAGCACTTAATAAAAGTCTTTTGCTCTACGTCCATTTAAAGTCTTAATTTTTCTTTCTTAAAATCATACGAACGTTTATAAATATATCATTAGTAACGGTTCTTTCTACCTTTGTTTCCAGAAGAAGACCTCATGCACCACTCCATGGGGCAGAACACGATCTTCGGCTGCTCCTCGGCCGGCCACAGCGGCATCAACCAATTGGGCGGCGTGTACGTGAACGGTCGCCCCCTGCCCGACTCAACCAGACAGAAAATCGTTGAGCTGGCCCACTCCGGGGCCCGACCCTGCGACATTTCTCGCATCCTTCAGGTGTCCAACGGCTGCGTGTCCAAGATTCTGGGGAGGTAACGATTTGCCACGCACATTTTATTCTTTATGTTTGGCTGATCAAAGTTTATATGAATCTAGGTACTACGAGACGGGGTCGATCAAGCCTAGGGCGATAGGGGGGTCGAAGCCCAGGGTGGCCACGCAACCCGTCGTCAACAAGATTGCCGATTTCAAGAGGGAGTGCCCGTCGATATTTGCGTGGGAGATAAGGGACCGGTTGCTGAGTGAAGGAGTGTGCAACAACGATAACATTCCTAGCGTAAGTACAAGCAAGTTTGATAAAGTCTCTAATTCAGTAACTATCGATAAAGTCTGCACAGATAAAACACTAACGTATCTACAAAGATCATATCATTATGCCAAAGGTACACTACTTTCCCCATTCCTAGACTATAACAGTGTTTGGATCGAAATGAATCATGTTATTGCTTACGGAATATAAACTATCACTGTCTCAACTATAGGAATTCATTGGTTTCCAATACATTATTTAACGATAACATTAATAGAATTTCAATAGGAGTATTTTTGTTGTAAATATTTTAAGATATTAAATAAAATTAACCTTGTTCTTGGAGGGATTTTACTTTTATGTTTAATTTAATATATCACTATATTTCATTTTATACATTTATGATATTGTTTAAATGAAGTTTTACATTTGATCTAATAATAATTGTAACTCTTATCATTCTTAGTTTATTTTAGATCCAGTGTCTCGCCCAAATTTTTAAGATTTGTATCAATCGTGCTATTTCCTTCCAAATGTCTGATTTAAGAAGCTATTTAAAAGATTTTATTAGGGAGCTTATTGAACTTTATAAAAGTTCCCAGTGTTTGTGGAAATCTAAATGTAAAGAATATATGAACAGAACAAAAAAAATGCAGCGTATGAACATTACTGAAAAAACTACTAGAGGTCGAACCAACCTCAACAAAAAAAGCGTTAAGGCTAAAATAAATAGTATTCGTGGAAGTTTCGGAAGACAAATTAAAAAAATCGAAGAATCAAAATGTTCAGGAGCAGGAACAGATGAAATATACGTTACGCACCTATGGTATTACGATTTACTCTTATTTTGCAAAGATCAATCAGTTCCTCGAATATCAGGCAGCAACACTGACGATCAAGCAACTGAGCTTTAAAAGCCATTCCTTTACCCATTGGGTACCTGTTTGATGATGCTTTTTAAATTTGCTTCTCTTTTTTTTAATAATGCATGCATACGCTACTGATAAATATAGAAAATCGTCTTCATCAGACATCGTTCATAATCAAACTGTATGTTTGACACAAATCATGCTGTTCTGTGGCAAAGAGCATATTCGCACACATGTAGTTCACACATCCACGCCAGTGTGTGGCGGCCTAAAACAGCAATTTGCAATGCTAATTTACTATCTAAAATAGCCAGAGAAAAAAAATACTGATTTAATAAATACTATAAATATTTAACTAAATATAGTATGTAGGATGTAGGTATTCTCCTATGTATATTTAAATTAGTTTACCTTCAGGCAAATTTTCCGAGCTCTCCAATATAGTAAGTATATTTTCTCGTATAGAGTCTCTAGTAGTAGCATTAATTCTTCCGTTCAAAAGATGATGTCATTTTCCATTTGAATCATCAAAACAACACAACAAAACCACCATAAAGAATAACTAACATATTTTTTCGGAAGGCGTCCTGCCACTACAATACCAGCAAACATGTGGTTCTCCCACTCCATCCAAAAAGCACCACAAGTGTAGTATAGTCATATATGGGGGAAGATTTCTGACAGTTTTGCACAATAAAAATAATTGTTAAAATATGTAGTAGGAGTATTTATGGTTTTTTCTACATCTATTTTTTCACTATAACGGGGTGTCTAATTAAGGTTGCCTCAGTTTAAAGCTGACTTACCTACTAGATAAGTTTTCCATTTACCTACTCGTATTTACTATTTTTTATTTCATTTCGACATCAATAACTATGGTTTGGTTAAGGTATGGGTATAAAAGACAAAAATGTGTTCAAAGATAAAAATGTATCTATTCATTTTTTGTTAAATGTTAAAATCCTTCGAACTGCTGGAATCGTGTTCTAATAAAATAAAAAAATAAAAACTGTCCAATTTTGCCACACATAAACATAAAAATTCACAATTCTCCCTTAATCCCTGCCTATTTTTATAATCCTTCGTTCCATTCCCGCACATTCCGTTGCTCTCGCGCCCTTTTCCTGCCCTTAAAGCCTCCCTTCTGCCGCCGCCCCCATCGCGTTGTCATGGTTACGGGTCGGGGACCCCCCAAGGATTTTTGCGAGGCTGCGATTTACCTTGTAAGCCTTATTTCGCTTTTTGTTTGCAAACATTTCCACCGTTTTTGCCGAACAACAACAATTTTATTAAAGCATATTTTGCCGGCGCTTTTGTAGGCCTTTCTCCTATTTTTTTCTTCTTTTTTTTCCTTGCTCTTTTAATAGAATAAGCTGGTACATTATAAAATAAGTAGGAGGAGAAATGGTTTTGTTGAGGAGGATTTTGTATTAATTTGGAAACAAAGTTTAATATAAAAGTCTATTATTTTAATCTTTTAGATGTAAGTTACTATTTTCGTACATTTATTTGTTTCATTATATAATTAGTGCATTAAGTAAAATACAGTGCAATGCTTTCGTCTTATTTTGTCCTATTTTAAACTTACTAAAACATTTATAATTTTGGTGGCAGTAGAACATTCATTAAAATGAAAATTATAGAATTTTTAATCAAGTTTTATTAGTTATTATTAGCAAAAATTTTATACGATGTAAAATGTCAGAGATATTGGTATAAAGTAGGTATATATTTTTTAATGGGACACACTGTATATTAGAAGTGTATTAGAGTTACCTAAAAAACTAATAGACATACTAACATTTGTGTAATATTTTATCGAATTTTGATAAAATTGATATAAAGAAAGCTCATATGATATATTTGTAAAATATTCTCTCCAATACACTTTTAATATACCGGGTGTTTCTTAAAAGTGACTCGCCCCCTGTAACTTTTTTATTTTTTCAGATAAATAAACGTGTTTGACCGCGTTGAGATGTAAATAGTGTAGTCTATATTTTATTTTAAGTCTATGGTGCTGATATATTAGTATTAGTGATATACCGGGTGCGTCTTAAAAGTGGCTCACCCCTAAAACTTTTTATTTTTTCAGATAGAAATACGAGATTTGGTACGTTAGTATATGACATAAATCAAGATTGATTGACATATTCAATTGCTTTCGGTCACTTTCTGATTCACCGGAAATGACTACAACTTTTGATTTTTAAATGGTACCTTCGGTGTTTTTTTACTTTATTCGACTGAAAATGACACATTCTCGTTTTAAAAAAAATGGTAATATAAATTTCAGTCTAGACTGCCGTGGATGTATTAAAAACACTAACTTTTATCATCAAGGAGCCTTGGAAAAATATATTTAGTCGTCTAATGTTTTTTGTGTCTTGTCCTGGCCACTTATATGATGTCGGATTAGATGATTAGATGAAAAAGCAAGTTTTTACAAATAATTTGGTATCAAATACCATACGGTCGTAAAAGACGACGTCACTATGGCTATGGAATGAAGATCGCTGTCATTTTATATGTAAAATTGTATGGGGAATATCATCGATCGTCATTTTCAAACTATATAGATGCCGTTTTTTTCGATCTTACGGTACTTGGTATTTCGAGTCAAATTGACGTAACATTTACAGTCATGGCACTCTAAATTGAAATTTAAAATGCTATTTTTTTAATTGAAAATGTCAAAAGTTGACATGTAATATGCCTTATCATATTCTATCAAATGAAGTAAAAAATACTAAGTGAGTAAAGTAATTTCCGGTGAAATAGGAAGTGGCAGAAAACAATTGAATATGTCAATCAATCCTAATTTATGTCATATACTAACATACCAAATCTCGTTTGTTTGTCTGAAAAAAATAAAAAAGTTATATGGCTGAGCCACTATTGACAAACACCTGGTACTTATAGGATGTTTTATTTAAAAAAAGTTTATAAAATAGATAAGGTAACTATTTTAGACAATAGATTTTTCACAATGATATGAACAATATATACAATATTCCTATTTTTTATGCTTATTACTTAAATTTGTGTAACGGACAAAAAAATGTTTTTCGGTTCAGACGGTATATCTCCTCCCGTTGTCGGAAGCAAAAAAAAATACAAAGAACGAATGAAAAACTATTTAAAATATCCAAAACCAAACACTCTAGTTTTTTTCTCAACAGGCACATCTATATTAAAAACCGTTGACGTTCTGTTAAAATTACAATATTTCAAGATAAACTTCAGAAGGCCACGGCCCAGCTACGTCGAAATACCGGTTCCCATTAGAACACCGAAGTTAAGCGACGTAAGGCGATACTAGTGGATGGACGGGTGACCGGTTCGAAACTCTGTATCGTGCTGTTTTACAAAAAAGGGCAAAAGTGTAAAATCTATTGACACACACTGCTCATTCACGCCGGTTCGAGGCCGGATGAGATCGGATATCTCGTGACTAGAGTCGATTCAGACACTTGCCAAGTCGGTAGGCCATTGACCATGATATGGCCGAGGACCGCGGTTCGGATTCCGCGTAAACAAAGTAGGCCCCGTCCAGATTTGCACTGGCAGCAAAAAGGAGACGTTAACTTCAGATCTTTACTTTACTTTTATAAACTTCGATAACAATTATTGAAGACATGAGTGGACAAAGGTCGCTTTTTTAAAGTTTCGAGTAAATCGACAAAAAACGTCTAAAAATTATTGATGGTATATGTGAAATGGCACCTTTATCACATACGATATTCATTATGGTATTTATATTTATATTTATTATATTTAGAGCCTATTGGAGGATAGATCTGTCAAAGGGATGTTGAAATACCGAATAAAACTGATTTTAAAAAAAAAATGCGACATGACACCTTGATCATGCCTTAAATTATTTTGTACTTAATGGGGTAAAATCAAAAAACCTCAACCATTCTGTATATGATTATTTTTGTTTGTTTTTAATTTTTGTTATGTTTATTAAAATCAAAGAAGCTATAGTCATACATTACTAACATCTACAGATGCCTAAGGAATGCATTCATTTATTTTGTAGGTATTAAAAGAGCCTCTTTTATTTTTTGTTTAGAGGCTATAGATTCTTTCATTATAATTTTTGCGTTGTTAAAATCTAATTCGTGTCCCATGAATTCTGACAAATCTTATATT